TTCAGATAGAGAGACTAGGAAACTTCAGGAATCAAGGGCCAGGGGGCCTAGTGTTAGTCACTTCACAGCTGACCCATAGGCCTTTGTTCTCTGCCTAAACAGTGAAAATTACCAAAAGGAAAACAATTACTGCAGGCATGGGGACATCACCTATCAGCAACATGCCTGGACCCTGCCCCCTTAAGCACGCAGGCTAACACCACCTGCCTAACAGAGAAAAACTACTTAGGGTATCAATAACAGGGAGCTGAAGTTCTCCTCAGCTTGTTGGAGTTAAATGCTCAGGAGATGCCTCCGTAGTTCTATTAGCTTCGAGAAGAACCTTAACTCCATTTAGATATGTGGTAATTTTGACCACATACAGAACATAACTCCAGTCAAAACTCTCCCCCTTGTCCTAGCCACTGATCCTACTGAAGCCCTAGCCATAGACTGATCTGACTGACCCCCCAAATCTGGCCTCACCACTATGCACACTGCTAGTTTAAAAAGAGAACAGGTGTGTGTGTGGGCAGATGGTTCTATACAGATCACTCTGCCCTTAGATACCATGTCCTACTAAAAGGGAATTGGATCATAACACAGCTTTCATCAACAAGAGCGTCACGTCTCATACCTCCATTACAGAGCCCTACCCCCTGGGGGGCCCAGGAATTATGGTATACGTGAATTGGACCGAATCTATGGCTCCCAAGATGGACAACAGGACAAGGATGGTGAGGGAAGTTCTATTCAGATCTCAGTGAGAATACTTCTGTACTGATTCTATTCTTCCTTTGAAAGGGCATGAGTCATACCTGTTCCACAAGGTCACGAACTCGGCGCTGCTGCCCATCAATACAAGCTCGATGCAACATTGTCTCCCCCATATCGTTTCGTCGATTCCACTGTGGAGAATCCGCCAAATGGGGGAGCAATGGAGAGAGAACGTACACAAGTCAGAGGTGGAGCAGGGAGAAAAGGAGGAAGGAGACTTGGGCTACGATACGAAGAGGGCGCAGGAAACGTGATGTCTGAAAACTGGCAGCTATGCCTTTCCTGTCAGCAGACCTACCTTATTTACTTTTCGACGACCAGGGCCAGTCTGTTCGTAGCTCTCCCTTTCTTCCTCTCCCAACTGTAGATTGCCACCATCTTCATTCTCTGGAACAATCACAATGGGTAACTCATTCCAAGCGCTAGTGATATCACCACCTTGGGCCAGCAGCTACCTGGACACATGGTGTGCAGATGCTACAAGTTCATGACTAGCTAGAAGACTTCTGAGGATCTTTCTAACTCTAATCTTGTGACCCTATGGCTAAACAAGTCTCTCGTGTTTTCTCAGATCTAATTACTGTGTCCTGTCTTATGCATCAAATCAACAAACATTCATTGAGCCTCTACTATGTTCTTTACAAGGTGCTAAGTGAAATAGAAGATGAATGAGATATGGGTCCTGCCACTATGGACTCTAGTAAAGGAGAGAAAGGTACACAAAAAAAGAGGAAAAAATAAAAAGAAAAACATAAATCATCAGAAGGCAAGATATAAAAAGGGCCATAAAAGAGATATAGAAAAAAGTGCTATAGAAACGAAGAGAAGAGATCTTTTACAACTGGGGGAGGATGAAGGAAAGTTTCATGGATAAGTTGGTATTGGAGCTAAGTCTTTAAGGAGTGGGATGTTTTCTGACCAGCAGAAATGGATGGAAGGGCAGGTTAGGCATAGGTATAAGGCATAAGAGCAGATTCAGAGAATAGCATGTCGTCTAACTTGGCAGGAGCATAGGGACTCTATGAGGGAGCAATGGAATCTAAGGCTGGAAAGACAAAATGGGATCAAACCATTCAAAGAAAATGGGAAGTCACTGAAGGTTTATGAGAAAATGGGGTAGTTACATTAGATGGCCTCAGAGGTCTCTCCCAACTTCAGATCTACAATTTTCTGATCCTATGACTGTAAGAAGGATGATATGAAGCTGTACTTTCAGAAGATTAATCTGGCAGAGTGGAAAAATTGAAAAGAAAAATAATAGAGGCAAAGAGACTGGTTAAGAGGGCTTAGCAATTCCTAACAAGGGCTAAAGAAAGTGGATTTCTGACTTCTTCCCCCTTAATGTCTTCTCTCTGAGATAACTTCCAATTTATCTTGTATCTATCTTGTTTGCAGGTAGCTGTTTACATGTTTCCTCCCCCATTAGAATGTGAGCTCCATGAGGGCAGGGATTGTTTTTTCTTTTCTTTGTATCCCCAGGGCTTAGCATGGCACCTGGCAACAGTCAATAAGTGCTTAGTAAATGCTTGACTGACTAAATAAACTAGGTGAGAGGGGTGGGAATGAAAAGGAAGAGAAGGAAGTCAAAGACATTTCAGAGGTAGAGATCTGGTAATTAGTTGGATGGAGGCGGCAAAAGAGATGAAGTTGAGAGATAACTGGAAGTCTGAATGACTACAAAGGTGTTAACATCATTCATCAAATGGAGAAGTCAAGCAAGGGAGTAAGTTCCAGATGAAGAGTTACATTTTCTACATTTTGAAATAGAAATTCAGGTCTCAAGCTAGGGAAAGAGATCAAAGCTGGAGCTTAAGTATGGCAGCTGAAAACCCAGGCAGTGGATAAAATCACCAAGAAAGAGCTGAGAGAAGAGGGCCAAAGGCAGAGGAAGCCTAAAGGAAATAAGTTACACACTCACTATCCCTCAGAAGAGGAACAAAGCCATCTACATCCCTTGTTCCAAAAAGTGCTCAGAAGGAAGCCTATACCAGTGGGCACTTAATCAAGAACAGATGATAAGAACTCACCAACTGATGCACCATGCATTTTTAAGCACTTTCTGTGTGCCGTGCCTTGTACTAGGCAGGCCTGAGTACAAAGGAAGGCAACAGTGCCTGTCACTAGAGTTTTAAGATGAGTTGTGTTGATAGTAAGAAGGCTGACCAGAGCAATAGAGAGAGCTGGAATTCTACAGCAGCCTGTGGTCAAGGTTTCCCAAGGCTTTCTGACTGAATTCCTGATAACCGTGGGCATACACTCACCACTTTCTGAGAGTTCCACCTCACTATCCTCCAAGGCCTCACTGTTCTCTACCTCCTCTTCCTCCTCTTCCTCAGCAATAGCCTTGGATGGGCTCCAGCCTTCTGTACAGCTCAGCTCCTGCAGCTTGAAACTGGTGTTGGGGGCTTCCAGGGGCTGGTGTTTCAGCTGTACAGCATGGAGGTGCTGCAGGACCTGCCGCTGGAGAATGTAATTGGGATCAGAGACCATGACTCACAAACTGAGAGAGAAAAAAATCCATGACAATTAGGGAGGTGAGGATTGGGAAGGTCAGGACTTCCTGATAAAATCTGTCTGGAAAAGCATGATGGGTGAGAATCTTAAGGAAGGACCCCAAAAGTAAAATTGGAAAGTATTGTCAAGTCAAAAAGGAGCTCTGGGGAGTCCAGGGAAGTGGGGCTGTAACAGATCTCACCTGTAGCCAAGGCTTCTTGGCCTCCTGTGAACAGTGGAGGGCACTCTGGAAACATGGTTCCAGCTCCTCATAGGGCTCACCAGCCTCTTCCTTGGATAGGGCAATGTTCAACCAGGTCTTTGCCTCCTAGAAACATGGAAGAGAGAAAAAGAGATGGGCCCCAAGCAAACTCACCACCAGCTATGCCCACACAACTCCCAAGACAAGGACTGGCTCATGACCTGAAGCAACTTTTTATATCCAACTTTCTGTTATCTACATTGAGGAAGGGCATCCCTAAGATGGTCATCATTTATACCAGTGGCTGTATGCAAAAGCCCTCCCTATGCCTTAATTTCTCCCCTCTCTATCCATCTAAGTGATATTCCTAAAGCACAGATCTGACAATGTCACTCCCCTATAGCTTCCCCTAGAATAATCAGTTAATAAACATATGTTAAGCGCCTGCTATGTGCCAACCACTGTGCTAAGTGCTAGGGATACACAGAAAGGCAAAAGATAGTCCCGACTCTCAAGGAACTCACAGTCTAATGGAAGAAACAGTATGAAAACTATGTACAAACAAGATATATACAGGATAAAATGGAAATAATCAACAAAGAAGGCACTAGAATTAAGGGGGAATTAGGAAATGCTTCTTGTAGATGGGATTTTAGCTGGGACTACAAGGAAACCAAGGAGGCAAGAAGGCAGAGGTGAAGAGAGAGAGAATTCCAAGCATGGGAGAAAGTCAGAGAAAATGCCTGGAGTTGGGAGATGAGAATATTTTGTTAAGGAACAGCAAGGAGGCCAGTATTACTGGATCAAAGGGTACATTAGGGGCCAGGGGTGGAAAATGTATAAGAAACTGAAAAGGTAGTGGGGAGGCCAGGTTATGAAGAGTTCTAAACACCAAATAGAAAATTTTATATTTGATCCTGGAGGTAACAGGGAGCCACTGGAGTTTACTGAGTAGGGGGGAGGGGATGACATGGTCACCTGCACTTTAAAAAGAGATCACTTGGATGTCTAAGTGGATTTGGAATGAGGAGAAATTTGTGGCAAGCTGACCAAGCAACAGATTACTACAGTAATCCAGGTGTAAAATGAAATCAAAAGGTCTTGACAACAGCTTGGATGTAGGGGATGAGAGAGAGAGGTGTCATGGATGATGCCTAGGTTTCAAGTGTGGATGACTGGGACAAGGTGGTGCCCTCAACAGTACTAAAGAAGTTAGAAAGAAAGGAGGATTTTTGGGGGAAAGAGTGAGTTCAGTTTTGGACATGCTGAGTTTAAGATATCTACAGGACATCCAGTTCAAGATGTCTAATAGGTAGTTAAAGATGTGAGACTGGAGGTCAGCAAAGAGGTTAGGGCTAGACAAACAGATTTGAAAATTATCAGCATAGGAGGGGATGTACAAAAATTGGGACACTGATAAACAGTTGGTGCAGTTGTGAACTGGTCCAACCATTCTGGAGAACAATTTAGAACTATGCCTAAAGGATTATACACCTGTGTATACCTTTTGACCCAGCAACAACACTACTAGGTCTGTCTCCCAAAGAAATCAAAGAAAAGAGAAAAGGACCTATCTGTAAACACATATTTACAGCAGCTGTTTCATGGTGGCAAAAAATTGGAAACTGAGGGGATACTCATCAATTGGTGAATGGCTAGAAAAGTTGTGCTGTAAGAAATGATAAACAGGATGGTTTCAGAAAAACTTGGGAAGACTTATATGAACTGATGTAAAGTGAACAGAATCGGGAGAACATTATACACAGTACAAGCAATGTTGTAAGGATGACCAATTGTGAAAGATTTAGCTACTCTGATCAAGCTGATGATCCAAAAAAAAAAAAAAAATCCAAAGAAAAAATGCCATCTACCTCAAGAAAGAGAACTGATGAACTCTGAGTGCAGACTGAAGCACAGTATTTTTTTTTTACTTTATTATTCTTGGGGATTTTTTTGTGCTTTTTTTTGCAACACGACTATTATGGAAATATGTCTTACATGACTTTACATTTATAATTGACATCGTATTGCTTGCCTTCTCAATAGGTGAGAGTGGGGAAGGAGGGAGGAAGAGAATTTGGAATTCAAAATTTTAAAAAATGAATGTTAGAAAATTATTAGCATAGAAATGATAAGTGAATCCATGGGACCAGATAAAATCACCAAGTAAAATAAATTAGAAGAAGAAGGAACAGGACAGAGCCCCATGGGACACCCACAGTTAGTGGATGTAACCTGCTTGAAGATCCAGCAAAAGAGACTGAGAAGGAGCTGTGGAATAGGTAAGAGAGAGTAGTATCACAAAAACCTAAAGAAAAGAAAGTATCAAGGAGAAGAGGGTGATCAACAGTTTCAAAGGCGGAAAAGAGGTCAAGAAAGATAAGCACTAAGAAAAGGTCATTAAATTTGGCAATTAAGAGATCATTAGTAACTTTAGAGAGAACAATTCTGGTTGAATGATAAAAGTTTGAAGCCAGACAGTAGAAAGTTACAGAAAGCTAGAGGATAGGAAGTGGTGGTATCTTCTGCCTTCTCAAGGAGTTTAGCCACAAAAGGGAGGACAGATGTGGGAGAATAACTATCAAAGATGGATGATCAAGTGAGGTTTTTTTGAGGATGGGGAAGACATGGGCATGTTTGTAGGCAATAGGGAAAAGCAGCTAGTAAACAGGAAAAAGAGATTGAAGATAAGAGTGGAGATGATAGAAGGGGCAATTTGCTGAAGGAGGAGGGATGGAATGGGATCACTTGTATACACAGAAGGATTTACATACATATAAGCTGACATATACATATTCATACATATATATGTATATACACACACACACATCCACACACACATCTTATATGCATACAAGTGTGTTCTCCCATTAGAATACAAGCTCACTGAGGGCAGGGAAATTTTTGTTTTCCTCTTTATACCCCTAGAACCTGGTATAAAAATTATTGATAGATACAAGAAAACAAAAGACTGCTTTTACCTTCTGGTGTAATGAGAGAGACAAACTTAACACAGCATTAGGTATATTATAAATATGGAACATGGTGTTAACAAATGTTTTTTGATTTGATTTGTTTTTGAGGGCTCCTTGCACTCAAGACAGTTATACGGCCTTGTTTAGGGAAAAAATGTACAAAAGAACATGTAGCTAAGTATAAGACCAACTACAACTGGACCAAGTGTTAGAGAGATAGGGCTCAATGGAATCAGTCAGGGTCAATAAAAGAAGGAGGTTCTCTGGAGAAGAGGAGGAACAGAGACTCAAGTCTGAAGAAGAGAGAGGGGTAGTTTACCTCTAGAGGGTTGCCTTTCCGTAACCTCAGCTCCTCCTCATAGTGCTCCACAGCCTGACTGTAGTTCTTCAGGTCCCCAAAGGTGGCAGCCAGTGAAACATGAATGACAGCCAAGTCCTGCTTTGGTATCTTCAAAGATTTGGCAAACTGCAACTGGAACAGAGCAGCCCCAGTAAGAAGTCCTCTCTGATCCCTAATCCACAGTTTTCCAACTCCCTCCTGATTTTTCTTAGCCTTGGACCATTCTTCAACTCAACTCTGTTCACCCTCCCACGTGATACATCCTGGAAGGGTTCTTGAAGAAAGCCCGTCCCTAAAAAGGAATGTGCCCTGATACAATGGAAAGGTGAACTCCAACCCCTCAACTCCAGCTTGCAGGGGGCACTCCCTTACCTGTTTCTGGTAGGCCTCAGCTGCCTTAGGGAAGTCTCCAGATTTGGAGAACAGGTCTCCAAGCTGCTCACAGATGCCCAGGGCTTCATGCAGGTCACTGCGCTCAGCCTCCTCCAGCTTTTGCTGCAGACTCACCACTTTTAGCACTGCTTGGACATGTGGTAGATGGAGAACCCAGAAAGTGAGATGTTATAATAAAGGCTCATATTTTTCAAAATTTTCTTACGTGATACTTCAATAACCCTATGAGGTGCTTGTACAGATATTATTGCTCCTATTTTACAGATGAAAAAAAAGTTAACACTGATATAGTTCATTAAGCATTTTTGTCACAAGAGCCCTGTGAAGTAGGTAGTGGAAGTATTATTATCCCCATTTTGTAGACGTTATCAGACTCAGAAAGAAAACGACGTGGCCAAGTTCATATAGCTAGACAGTGGCAGAGTCAAGACTCAAAGTCAAATTAAATCAGGAGCTTATTCCACTGCACAATACTGCCCCCTTAAGAAAGGGTGACACATCAGTATCATCATCATCAACATCTATCTGCTAATCATTTGCCTGTCTTGGAAGTGGCCAAAGCATCTATTATCGTATTGATTTTACCTGCTCAAGACCAAAATGTATTAAATGTCAGAGACAGATTTAGAACCATGGTCTTTTGATTCCTCATACAGTGCACTTTCCACTATACTATGAGGCTTCTCTAGCAAATAAGTGAGAACCACAACTAGGATCTAGGTTTCTTGTTTTCCAAAGTATTCTAATAGATTGTGTTGCCAGGTCAGAAATCTGAAGGGGAAGGAAGGAGCCCCGCCCAGTACCCTTGGAAGCAATCCAGCTCAAGCCTCACCGTACTTGAGGCTTCTGCAGACCGTATGCCGCTGCCCGGGTTGCTGGGACCCTAGCCTATAGGCCTTCTTTAGGGCCCTCTTGGCGGCCACAAAATCCCCCAAGTCCTGGAGGATCTGAAGAACAAACGAAGAAAATGTTCAAATCCTTATCCTGGTCAGTACCTCACCCTTCCCAAACTTCTGAGGTATCCCTAAGACAGACCATGGGGACAGAGCAACTAACCTGTCCTATGGTCTCCAAAAGACATGATGCCCACAGACATTAGACCATGGACTAGAGCAGAAATGGGACCCAAGGCACTGTTGATTACCTGGGCAACAACAACACAACACTCGCTTTCCATGAACTTCCTCTTCATGACTCGGGCACATTCCCGTGCTCCCTCCAGGCAACGCATGGCCTTTGAGTGCTGCCCACCCCGCCAGTGAATAGTGCCCAGATTGTACCGAGCACGAAAAAGGTCCTCATATAGGTGATTTTGCCTGTAATCAGGAAGAAAGTAAGATTCAGAGGCATTAAAAAATCTTCCTACTCTGCTCAACCCTCCACAGCTCAAACCAAACAAGACAGCTGCTGTTTGGCCATACTCTATACTCCATACAACCTGGTCTACTCTGTCCCAATGCACTTTGTGCTGTCCTGCCTCTAGGACTCTGCTCATGCTATTGCACGTGCTATTTCCTCTCCCATCTAAAAATTTCCTTTTTAAATTATGGACTTGTCAAACACTGAACACAAACTTCTCAGGATACAAAGAACAGAAAATGAGGACTATATGTGAAACTATGAACTTCTAATATGTACAGATTTTTTTTTTAGATTATGCGCTCCCTCAAAAGCAGGAGCTTTCATTTGTTTTTCTATCTAGAGCTTGTAGCACAGTGCGAGGCACATAGATGGCACTTTATGGTTATTGAATGACATATGTATATTAAATTTAACATGATTGATAGTAATAAAATTGTTCTGCTTGCCTGTATCACTTTCCAAACATCCTTCTGGGGCAGCTAGGTGGTGCAGTGGATAGAGCACCGGCCCTGGATTCAGGAAGACCTGAGTTCAAATTCGGCTCACACACATAACACTTACTAGCTGTGTGACCCTGGGCAAGTCACTTAACCCCATCACCTAGCCAAAAAAACAAAACAAAAAACAAACATCCTTCTGCTCTTTTTTGTGTATTTTTTGTTTTGCATTGCTGTTTTTTTCCATTTCTCTCTCTGTCTTTTGGCCATTCTTCACCTCCTTAAATAGAAGCCATCCCTTGTAATAAAATAAGTATAGTCAAACAAAACTAATTCAGGTATTGGCCATATCTGAAAACTTCTATCTTGTTCTATATCTCTAGTCCTCTACTTCTTCACTCACTGAATTCCTTTTTTTCCTGTAAAGCCCAGGTCAAATGCTACCTCTTCCAGTAAACTGACACCTGGCCATCAATAACAATCTTCCCCATTAGACCTCACATCATACTTTGTTCTATACCTTCCTCTACCATAGAACCTTTGTTCTATACCTACACTTACCATGTAATGTAGCGTAATATAGTTCTCGGTGTTTGTACCTCATTCCCCTAATTTAAAAATCTTACTAAACCCTGTCTTCCTAACGCCTAGCACAACGCCTTGAAGGCAATGTTTATTAAAATAAACTGCTTCACAAAAGGTGTTTTTTGGTATGTGTGTATATATCCTTATTCCTTCCTCAAGGCAGAGCCCCCATGAGCCAGGTCTACCTTCATCAAACTGGAGTTTCTTCAGGGCAAGGGCTGTGTCAAGGGGATTCTCAGTCAGAGCTGTTTCACTGACCAGTCTCAAATCCTAGGGCAGGGAGTGTAACCCTTTGTTAATACTCAACAAGTCCACTTCTGAGGAGGGACAGGGTCAAAAGAGAGACTAGAATAAACAGAGGGCAGGATAGCACGAAGGAAAATGTAGTTAAGTTTTTCACAATATGACTACTATGGAAATGTTTTGCATGACAACACATGTATAACCAGTATTGAGTTGCTTGCCATCTCAATGAGGGTGGGTGGGGAGGGAGGAAGTGAGAGAATTTGGAAGCCAAAGTTTTCAAAACAAATGTTAAAAATTATTTTTAGAGGCAGCTAGGTGGCACAGTGGATAGAGCTCCAGCCTTGGAGTCTAGAGGACCTGAGTTCAAATCCAGCCTCAGACACTTGACACTTACTAGCTGTGTGACCCCAGGCAAGTCACTTGACCCTGATTGCCTCACCAAAAAAAGCAAAAAACAAAACAAAAACAAAATTATTTTTACATGCAACTGGGAAATAAGATATACAGGTAATGGGGTATAGAAATCTATCCTGCCCTACAGGAAAATAGAAGGGGAAAGGGATAAGAGAAGTGAGGGGTGACAGAAGGGAGGGCAGATTAGGGGAAGGGGTATTCAGAATGCACACCATCTTGGTGTGGGGGGAGTGGAGAGATGGGGAGAAAATTTGGAACTCAAAATGTTGTGGAAGTGAATGTAGAAAACTAAAAATAAATTAAAAGAAAAAAAAGATGATCTTTTAAAAAAATTTAGAAGAAACAAGAATCAACAAGTCCCCGCTTAAAGAAATGATCCCCCAACTGTCCCAATCTCTTGGGACTCTACTTTTAAGTACCCAATTCACAGGACTGGGCTGGCAAAAGGGACCCCAGGAATAAGAGACTTACTCAGAAAGAAAGATGCTCTTCTTGATATAATCACTACATAGGGCTGGCTGCTTCAGACTATCAAAGGTAAGGCCCAAGTTGAGGTAGAGACGAGTCCTCATCTCACTCAATTCCTGCTGGGTCAGGACTCCTAAAAGAAATCCCCCAACAAAGGCCTTCAGTGGCTCTGTCCATTCTCCTCCCAAGGTCTCCAATTTACTCTGCCCACTTTTCAAACACCCAGTATGTTCTCTTCCTTTCCTCAACACACTTTTACCACTGATCTCTTTGGGATCATCCCTGCAAGAAAAAAAAATGAGGCACTGGAAAACTTCAAATTTCATTTGCATTTGGTAATGGAAAGTAGGATTACATTTCCCTTCTTAGAAGAGAGGCTCAAAAAAAAAAAAAAAAAAAAAAAAAAAGAAGAGAGGCTCCACAAGTCTCCCCCATCGGACCAGGGACTCTTGAAGAGCAGGGGATAGATCTTTCCTATAAGGTCAGGAGTTTTAACAAGCGTGGGGACTATTTCTCCACCTGAAATGATGGGTTCACTGAGGGCAGAGGCAATATATATACTTTATTATTATAATTTTCAAGGGCTTTGTACAAGGCTCTCAATTCCCACTTGGGAAATAGAAATTTCTTTGTGCCTGACTCAAGGGACAAGGAAACCAGTGGATCTGTTCTAATAGCTACCTTTCCAAGGTCAAGTATCTACAGACTGAGAGGTAGGTCATTTTGACAGACCCAGGAAGCTGAAGAATGTTACCCAACTAGGGAGACTGATGTCACCCTGGTTCATGGCTAGAGAACAGGTCAGGATCCTAAAGCATTTCCTCTGCCCTCCATCTTACAAAGCTGGATGATGGATAAACAGGTGCTCTTTCTGTCCCGATCTGTACCTTGGAACAGAAGGTAGCCCTCCCCTTTCTTTGCTATTCTCAGGGGAACGAACTCACTCTCTAACTTCTCATCCACTATTGCCAAGCTCTTCTCAAAGGCAGTCTGGGCCTGCAGGAGTGCATCAACAGACTGGCTGTGGTCATAGCTGGCTAGATAAGTTCTGCCAATGGTTGCCCAGGCCCTCTGCTGCTCAACGTAGCTGGACAAGCACTCTGCTAGCTCGAGATGACGACGCTGGTGCTAGGGATAAATTGAGACAATCAGTTGTAAGTTGTCACATACATACACACACAGAGCCACCACTCAAATGTACACCTCCCCAAACAAAAATTATATAGCAATAAAAGGCCACAAATTCTTCAGTTCCCGCAACTTCCTCCTCTCTTCTAGAAACCTTACTCAAGTTAACAAGTATTTATTTGAGCACCTGCTATGTGCAAGGACCTATGCTAGGATAAGTTCAGCTTATCCTGGTAGCCTTGATCACTCTAGCAACTGAATGGGGATAAAAAAAGGGCCCTACGTTAATATCTCATCAACTATATAACATATGTGAAAAAGAAAAAAAAAGGCCAAGGTTAGAAAGGTTTCTTTGTTGCCTAGTATAGGTGAAGATGTGTTGGACCAAGGAGTCCCAATTCTAATGACTTACTTTGTAAACTTGAGCAAGTCCCTTCCTCTCTCTAGATCTCAAATTGGACTGAATGACTGAGGGCCCTTCTGGTTTTGAATATATAACTTTAATAGCATAGTCAGTTCCAATGCTTAGTACATATTACATGCCAATCAGCAACTGGTGATGAAGTCCCAGCTCAACAGGTCATAGACTAGCTAATGATTTCCTCATTGTAGGGGAAGGCACAGTCACTTCCCAAAAGCAAAGTCATGTCTCTTTGTCTCATCCCAAGCACTCTCCAACACTGAGGAGTGGCTACCGGTATGACACTTCAAGCACAGGTTAAGGGCTTGCTGAGAGCTCGATGCTAGGGAGTGGGGGGAGTAGAGGTATGGACAGGAAATTGCTACCTGCTTCCCACTTACTGGCCTCTCAACGAAGGGCTCTCACCCTACCTTCAGGGCAGCTGTGTAATCCTCCAGCTCTGCCAGCCGCTCACCAATTTTTCGGTGGGCCACAGCACATCCCAGCACATCCCCAGTGATTTCCAGAAGATGAAGCTCCTGTTGGTGTTCAGCCAATGCTTCCCTGTAGCTGCCTGGATCAGCCCAGGGAAAAGGAGAGCCACTGTCAAGTTGGGGTGAGGGAAAGGAGGCAGGATCCACAAAAGGACAGATGATGCTTGTAGTCAAGGGTGCAGTCCCATCCATCTGACACCATCAAGTAGCAGGACTAGATCTCATATGGGTTCACTTCACCTTAGGTCTGGCCTATCACCTTCTCTAGTTCTCCCCAGTCTCCAAAAGGCTCAATAGACTAGAACAGGAAGAATCATTGCCTACTTATAGCACTCTTCATAGTCATGATGGCCCTTTCAGGCTGTGGGCCAAATACAAATTGACAAAAACCCCTGGCTGGTCTGTTTTGCTGAGTTCCTCCCTCAAACCACCTTTATTTAGGGGCTCCCCCTTATTCTCTCATCTCAAGCCTCTGCTCATTGGCCAAGATGCCTATAGATGCCCACTTCCTCGTGTTCCTTATTCCCAGTCCTCCCTTTCTTCTACATCACTGCCACCTCCTCCAGGAAGCACTCACCAAGCCATCAGTCTAATACCTGGTGTCTTCTTTGTTCAGTGCTCCATTATGATTACTGTATGAAATAGCTACTGATTCTGTTTATAGCCTACTTACTTGGACCATGGAACCTCTAAAGATGGGGCTGTCTTCTTCAAGGAACACCCCAAATTCATGGGATAACTTCCCCATTAGACCCATAGCTCTATGAGGGTATGGTTATGTTTCCCCACCACTCATGGAATCAATGTTCCTTCCTTCCTTAATAATTAAACCTGTCGAAAAGTGGCACATGCTGCTTCAGGATGTAGTGGGTTCCTCATCACTGAAGGTATTTTTTTTAAACAGAGGCTGAATGTCTACTTGTCTAGAATTTTGTAGAGGGAATTCCTGCCTAGGTAAGGGTTGTCCTGAATCACCTCCAAGATACTTTCTAACATTGTGATTCTATCCATCATTGTATCCCAAGACTCTAAATCAAACTTGGTTCTGAGTCCACTAAGAATTTCACCTCTGGGGCAGCTAGGTGGCACAGTGGACAGAGCACTGGCCCTGAAGTCAGGAGTACCTGAGTTCAAATCCGGCCTCAGACCAAACACTTGACACTTACTAGCTGTGTGACCCTGGGCAAGTCACTTAACCCCAATTGCCTTAAAAAAAAAAAAAAAAGTCACCTTTGACTCCCTGACTCTCAACTTGCACCAAAACTGCCAGCGTGAAACCCCAAGGAAAGGTCAGAAATAAAGATGTGTCTATTTTCCCTCATATACCCAGGAGTGTCTGTAGCAGAAACTTAACTGTGAAGAGAGGTTATCTATTTCTGCCTCTCCATTTGGCAGGAAGGGAGAGCCTGAGAACCCAAACTATCATGTTCCACCCCCTTCCTCAGGGGTGGTGACTTGACTGTCTAAAGGTATACTTACCATGGCTAGCCAAAATCTCCCCCAGCTGATTGCAGAGCACAGCCTCCTCCTTGAGCTGTCCATTCTTCTGGGCCTTGGCCTTGGCCTTCTTTAATTCTAGGGGAGATGACTGAAAGCCTCAAAGGATGGCCCCCACCACCCATCCTTAAGGGAGGTAGGTGACTCAGTGGACAGAACACTGGACTGAGTCAGGAAGATCTAAGTTCAAATTCAGCCTCAGACTTCTCAAACCATCTCCCTAGTGACCATTGAGAAGGCACTGTACCTCTCTGAGCCTCAATTTCTCCATTTGTAAAATGGGGATAACAACACTTGTTTTTACCTAATTAAAAGGATTGTTATGAGTACAAAGTGAGAAAATATACATGTGACACTTTGTAAACCTTAAGGTACATAATTGCTAGTTATTACTATTATTTTCAACATTCATTGTAATTTTTGTTTTTATGCCCCTACATTTCTCAATACAACCCTTCACCAGTCCTCTATTATAGAGGCATCTCTTATAGCAAAGACACTTAATAGCTAAGCTATGTGAGCCTGGGCACAGGCCTCAGTTTGATCACCTGTAAAATAGAGAAAATAATAGCACCTACATTCTAGGTTTATTGTGGGGATAAAATGAGAGAATATTTGTAAAGCATTTTGTAAACTTTAAAGCACTATGTAAATGCTAGCTAATATTATTATTAAGTGTTAGAGGAGAAGTTAAACCCAGGTTTTCTGGAAGGACTATTTGCATTACATAACACTGTCTTACACAATGCTTTGTACTTCTATTGCACTCCTCATGAAATATCATGTATTGTATTGACCTGCGTTGGTCTGAAGGAACCCTGACACAGGGGATCTGTCCTACTGCAAGGGTGGACAGGACAAAGAGGAGATGATCTGGAGAATCACTAGGGAGATGGTCTGAGAAGACTTGGGCTGGTCAGGAATGCTCTAGGCAGGCATAAGAATGATGATGACCTGAGGGGAGAGGATGATGCTGGTCTGTGAGGACCATGAGGAGCCATAAGAGGTATGTTTGATATTCTAAGGAAACATGAGGGATGAGGTTCTGAAGGTCATGGACAGGCAGAGGTGGGCATCATGGGGAAAGTGTCAGGGAAATGCCAACCCCCCCCTCCCATGGCATGACAGAGAGGGAAAGAGGGGAAAGATCTAAGCGGATATGGGGGTATGGTTGGAAGGGAAATGGGGGAGACAGGTCAGAAGGGAGTAAGTCGGAGAGGACACAGAGAAAGTAGGGAAGGTTAGTAGAGGGGACAAGGTCAAAGGAAGAAAGTGGGTGTAGGGGACTGAGAAGTGAGCGGGAGAATACAGTGAATAGGTTGGAACACGGGGGAACCGAGTGGGGGGAGGAGCAAGAGAGTGGGAAGCGAGGGGGACAAATGGGGAAGTGAGTGGGAATGACAAAGGAAAAGTGAGTGGAGGGGGACACAGGAGGAGTGGGGGGGCTCGGGGGAAGTGAGTGAGGGCACAGTGAAGAAGTGAGACTGAGACGGAAGGAGAGTCTGAGGTGGTATGGGTGGGGGGTAGGTGTGGAAGAGAGTGAGGTGACAGAGGAGGAAGGGACGAGGGCCGGGAAATGACCGGGACGGGAAGATGGTGTCTCGCAGGCCTACAACCCCGCCCTCGCCCACTCCCCTTCACTCACGGCGAACCTCCCGTTCCTCGCTCATGTCCCAGCCTCCCCGTCAGCCAGTCCAGGGAGCTTCCTCGGCGGCAGCAGCAGCAACATACTAAACCAGCTTCCGCCGCTGCCGGTGGCTTCCCGCTCTCCGGCGGCAGCCCCTCCTCCGTGTGCGCGCGCAGCTCCGCCATTGGTTCGCAGGCCCCCCCCCCAGCGGGACTCCACGAAACCTGGAGGGCGTGGTCACTCCCAACAGCCTGGGCCTGTCAGCTTTGAGCTCTGCCTCCTGAAACCCAAAGTCCTAGCAAATAAGGCCCCTAGGCATTCTGGGAATGGCAATGGGCGCCAGGAGAACCGCAAGGTGTGCCGGGAATCGTCCGAAACCCGTGGACGAGTCACAATGCATTCTGGGGATTGTAGTCCGAAATGAGAGACTCGAAAGTTAACGGTGGAAATTGTATTCTGAACAGGGAGAAATGCAGAAAGCACGCTGGGGATTGTAGGTATCTGTTTTCTAGGAAAATAATTCTGAGCCTCGCCTCAAACGGGCCAACCCTCAGTCTCCTAGGGAAGTTCATAGTGACAGGGAGGTATACTCATTAGAATAAAATGGGATAGGGGCATCTAGGTGGCGCAGCAGATAGAACACCAGCCCTGGAGTCAGGAGGACCTGAGTTCAAATCCGTATTCAGCCACATGAGACTCACTAGTTGTGTGACCTTGGGCAAGTCACTTAACACCGATTGCATCCCCCCAAAAAAAGGGCAACAGCTCAGAGAGGGCAATTAACCTTCCTAAGGTCACAGAGCAAAACTGAAGGATTCAGCAGGAAGCTGGTTCTCCAAGCTTGAACCCAGGGAGGAATCAAGGAAGAATTAGGAGAAGGGCCACTCTCCTTATTTGCAAAGGTGGAGGACCGTAGGTGGGTAAAGTTGCTAGACTTGGTTAATATGTTTTCGCTTTGATTGATTTTTCTTACATTCTTTGTTATAAGTTAGGGCTCTCAGGTGAGGGGGGGCGTGTATTGGGAAATAAAGATGATATAAAACCAAAAGAAATGAATAACGATTTTTATTAAAAGAACCTGGGTCTCCTGACCCCCTAAAAGCAGCTAGCTGGCACAGTGGATAGAGCAGGCCTGGAGTCAGGAAGACAAGTGTTCAAATCCAGTCTCAGACACTAGCTGTGACCCTGATCAAGTCACTTAAGTTCTGTCTGCCTCAGTTTCCTCACCTGTAAAATGAGGATAATAATATCCCTTACCTCTCAGAGTGTTTGTGAGGCTCAAATGAGTTAATAATTGTAAAGCACTTAGCACAGTGCCTGGCACATAGGGTTGTTCAGTTGTGTCTGACTTTGTATACTTCATTTGGGATTTTCTTGGCAAAGGTACTGGAGTGGTTCGATATTTCCTTCTCCAGCCAGGAAACTGAGGCAAACAGGGTGAAGTGACTTGCCCAAGGTTACACAGCTAGTTAAGTGTCTGAGGCCACAGTTGAGTGCAGGGTGATGAGCCTTCCTGACTCCAGACCTGGCACTCTAGGCACTGCATCACCACCTAGCTATCCTCTGGCACATAGTAGGTGCATGATAAATGTTAGCTATTCTTATTAAGATGGCCTATGGTCTAAGCAAATCCTAGACCTGGAATCAGAGGGATCTAAGTTCAAATCCTATCTCAGACACTAGCTGTATGACCCTAGGCACGTCACTGAACCTCCTTCAGCTTGGGTTTCCCCAACTATAAAATGGAGATAACAGCACCTATCTCAGGTGGTTGTGAGATGGTTGTGAGAATCAAATAAGATAAATAACAGCCATAAAGCACTTTGAAAGCCTTAAAACACTATATAAATGCTAGCTAGTTATTGAGGCTCCCCTATCCCACTGAAAAAAGAGCTAAGCTCCCTATTCCTCTTCTGTTTTTTGTTGAAAGGGGAGATGAAGGGATACTCCATAGGGAGAGCAGGGATGGAGGCAACTTATTCCAGGGAGCTTCCTTTGAGTTACTACCACACTCTTAGGCTTTTAAAACTCTGCTCTGGAGAATCCTTTCCACAAGACTCTGAGCCTCCTTTAGGGCCACAAATGGGAATTTACTCAGCAAATATTCAGGTCTCCCTTGGACATGGTATATAATAGAGCTCCCTAAAAGTAGAAACTAGCCATATATACCATCCCATTGATTGATTCCCTTTTTAGATGCCCTCACAGCTAATGGATATACTCACTGGATTACCTTGGGTAAGCCTCTGGGCCTCCCTCAGCTATTCTATAAAATGGAAATTTAAGGGGCAGTTAGGTGGCACAGTGGATAGAACACTGGTCGTGGATTCAGGAGGACCTGAGTTCAAATCCAGCCTCAGACACATAATGTGACCCTGGGCAAGTCAACCCCATTGCCTAGACAAAAAAAAGAAAGAAAGAAAGAAAGAAATTTAAAAAGGCTTTTTTGACTTAAAGTAGGGTCAGAGTATAGGTAACTAACCCTCTTTCTTTACTTTCCAGAGCAGGGCAGTAGCTTGGAAAGGTAAGGGACCCTGGGAAGGTTTACTCTTAAAATTCTCTTTGCCTTCTCCTTCAGCCCCCAACTTTTCACCAATTAGAAACTGACTTGGGTTAACCAGCTCCTCTTTCAAAATACAAATGAAAAAAAAATGAAAAAAGAAAAAAAAATAAAGAAAAAGGGGCAGCTAGGTGGCACAGTGGATAGAGCATGGACCCTGAAGTCAGGAGGACCTGAGTTCAAATCTGGCCTCAGACCAAACACTTGACACTTACTAGCTGTGTGACCCTGGGCAAGTCACTTAACCCCAATTGCCTAAAAAAAAAAAATACAAATGAAAGAGAGGAATGAATCCATTAGTTATTTCACTTATTATTCAACTGCTGCCAATATTAAGACTTCAAAGTTTACAACTGAACTCACTAAAATCAAGTCCCTTCATCAAATACCTTCTTTACATGCAACTCTAACTGGTTTGGTATTTTAGAAGTGAAGTTAAGCACTGCTAGAGCCAAGATGCTCTTCATAGCACATAGAAGAGTGGGTGGACAGCAAAGAGAAAAAAATAAATAAATAAATACACAAACAAAAAACACTTACAAAGCCCAAACTTTCAGGGCCAATTAGTGTCCAAGCTCCATAGACACTGATCTTTCTGAGTACGACCTGATAATGCCCAGACCAGAAAAAAAATGCTCAGTGATGACCTTTGATCAAATGAGGGTTAATATTATATTTGTGTGTTCTGAGGCAGGAAGGGAAGGAGCCTAGAAAAGGAGGGATGAAGAAAAGAAGAGTGGGAGAACTGGGATGGTAATAGAACTGAGTTCAAATTCCACCTTAGTCACTCACTGTAGATGCCAACATGGTATAAAGAGAATTTTGGGTTTGGAATAAGAGGTCTGAGTTCAAATCACAGCTCTTATGTATACTGCCTATGTGACCTCAGGCAAGTCATTCCCCCTGTCTAGAGGGGCCTCACTTTTTTCATCTGCAACATGAAGGAGTAGGAGAATAGATGACCTCTAGGTCCCCTCTAGCTATAAATCTGTGACCACAGCCAAAATTATTAATCTCCTATCAATCAGCGTTTAACAGCCTACTATATGCTAAGCACTGGATATACAAAGCCAAAAATTAAAGTAGCTGCCCTCAAACAGCTTACATTCTATCAGTCAATCAAGTAACATTTATAATCCCTTAGCACCAGCCAAGCATGGAGTTAACTGCTGGGGATACAAAAAGTGTTAATTAAATGCAGGCAACTTGCCATTATCATTCTTTGTCTAGCCCACCTCTCTTATCTTGTCCAAAAGCTTACTGGGAGTCAAATTGCTTCCTACCATCCAGGAATATCTATAACATCCTTCTGATCTAATAATAAACCCATTTTTTAAAAATCAGGTTATTCTAGCTAGCCTGACCTAGCCATAGGATCATAAATCCTTTTAGAAGCTATCTCGTCCAGCCTCTATTTTACAGATGAGAAAACTCAAGGATAGGTGGTTTACCCAAGGTTATACAGGTAATAAGCCTCAGGAGCAACATTGGAATTCAGGGCCTCCAGTTCCAGAGCCACTGCTCTTTCAACTGTATTAACCTTTTCTTGATTAATCACCAAGTTGACTTAGGTGACACCTCTAAGGTTCTCTTCATTTCTAGGTCTGTAATACTATGTCGAGCCTATGCTGGCTCCTAGTGAACCTATCCTCCCTCTGTAAATGATCGTAAATTGTCCCTTTAAGAATGTTTGAGAATTTTAACATTTTATCTCAGACTGTTTTAATAAGCTTATTTGGTGGGTTCCTACCTCCAACGAGAAAGGACCATACTAGTAGTAAGAAGAGAGAGAAGAAATTAGATCAGCAATTCACAAAGCCTAGCCAATTCAGTGTTGAGGCAAACAGTACCTCACTGTGTCATAGCAGCACTCCCTGTATGAAACACTGAGAATCATTAAATAACAGGTTATGTTCAGTACTACACTGGATAAGAAGGTCAGGCTGTGCGTTTCCATCAATCCAGAATAATAAGCTCCTTCCTGCATGAGATCTTTCCTAATTCCACAGCTGCTAATGCTTCTTCCAAGAAATTCCCTGGGCTTTATTTTGTGTGCTTGTATATATATGTACATACACACACATAAGTACACATACTGGTATGTGTAGAACAATCAAGCATTTATTAAGTACCTCCCTGCCCCCAAAGAGCTTACTTTCTGACTGGACACACATATAAAAATATGTTGTCTTCCTCAATAGAATGTATGCTCATTGAAGGGAACCTGAAATTGCTAGAAGTCAGCTATCTGTATAAGGGTGTCACTAAGTCATAAATATAAGGGATTAGAATAGCAGGACTGGGTATAGTTACAAATTGAACATAGCACAAGCTCCTAGGGAGCAGACTGACTTTCAGTCTCCAGGGCTTGATATGAATTACTATTTCCTTTGGATCTGGGGGTAAGGGGATGATAAAAAGTTATGTCTCTCAAAACCCAACAACTTTCCATCCTTTATGATTTCTTAGCCAGCTGACTGTGGTCATGTTTAGGGACAGCTGTCCTGGATTATACACTCTAGACTTCTTAGTTAGGTTTCAATCATAGTAAGGTACAGCTGTTTATAGCTAGACTGTTTAAAGTGAATACCACTACTTGCTTTTATATGCCTATAGCTTCAGACCCACTGAGCCCCATGTCTACACTGTACACTGAGAGCTGCAGTATTTCTGTCCCTTAGAAAAAATTGTACTGGAGTGATGGGCCAATGTGTAGAAGAATGGATAAAGCCTTTTATCTGAGTTAGGTCTCTAGTGGAAGGTCCAGAGTTCAGTTCTCATTTTTTCTCACTGACTTAAATGAAGTCACTGAAATGCTTTCATCACAATTTTATGGATGACCTGAAACTAAGAAATTTGATGGTCTGGATCTGGCATAAGTTTTCATGCTTATTTCAAATTCATGCACATTTCTAAATGGGCCTGCTTCCCTAGACCTCTGGTGGCCATCTTCCACCTCTGTGCTTTTATGTATATACATAGGCTGTCCCACACGCTTAGAACATACCTCTCAATCTACCTTTTAGATCAGGTACCGGCTTCTACACAAAGTCCTCTTTGATCCCCCTATTTCTTAAGTGTTCTCTTCCTCTTCAAATTATATTTTATATTTTAGTTATCTGTTTGGAGAGCCAGCCTGGTGTACTGGATAGAGGTCTCTAAGTCACACTGACCTTGGTACAAAAGCCCAGGGTCATATAACTAAAGCAAGTTACAGAAGAGATGCATATTTGTATCAATGGGGCTTTCTTCAGCAAGGAATTCCTGCCCAATCCCCTCTTCCCCCCAAAACCCCCAGCACTTTACAATGTAGGCTGACGACAGGGACTTTTTTCTTTATATCCCCAATCCTTTATAGTAGGCACATAATGTTACTGACTGTAATTGATTAGATAACATATTGGACAGCAAAACTAGAATCTGAAAAAAGGTCTTTAACTGGCACAACAGAACAACAGAAACTTTGAGGATTTCACTTTGGTTAAGAAAGAAAATGTTCAAATACAAGACTGGGAAGGTTTGAATGCATTGGAAGTTCAATATGAGCAAATTGTGTAAGATGGCAGCTAATACGATATGAAGCTGAATTGCCAGCAGCACAGTGTACAGAGGGGAAGGAGGGAGGTTAATATATTATGCTCTGCCCTGTTCAAACCAATCCCTTCTAAGAATTTTAGTGTTTAAATTCTAGGATCCAGATTTTAGAAAGATCATTGGTAAGGTGGAACATATGCATGCAGGCATTTATGATGGAAAGGAAACTCACTGTTATTTAGGAAACATTTAAGGAAAGTGGAGCTTTTTAATCTGGAGGGGAAAGAAAAAAGATTTAGAGAAGCAAACTGATACCTCTTTTCCACATGTAAGAGGGACTTAAGTTTGATCTAAGTTATTCCAGAAGACAAAATGGTAGAAAATACAGAGGCAGAGTTCAGTTCAATAAAAGAATTTCCTAATGATTGGTGCCATCCAAAAAACAGAATCAGGTGGTTTAAGAAGTAAAGTGAGATCTCATTATTCAAGGTATTCAAACGGTATAGAAGATTACTGTCAGGGATATTGTAGATGGGGTTCCTTTATGGAATGGGAGATTAAAAGATCCTTTCTAAGGTCCTTTCCAACTGAGATTTTGTCATTTTGATTTGGGTTCTAGTCCTAACTCCACTAACCAGTTGACTACAGTCAATCTACTTAATCTTTGTAGGCTTGTTTTCTTATCTGCAAAATAGATATTATATCTGTCCTATCTATCTCAAAAAATTAAAAGATATAAAGATATTTTAATGTGAGAAATGTCTGTGTTACTATGAAGATTAGGAGAAGCCAGACTAAAATTAGTATATTCTCAGTTTTTGTGGGGTCCCAGCCAAATGAGGGTATCAAATTGATACTCAACCCAGGCAAGGCTGGACCATTTTCTAGGTGAAGTGAAGATGTTGGCAAGAACAAGCAGAGACCTCAATCCCAGGAAGGCAATCCCTCCCTACCCACCCCCCCACCTCCACCCCCTTTAAGGAAACACAGACAAAGCATAGTTTGGCAATTTTTTTTTAAACTACAGTTACATACAGAAAATATCCAAACAGAACGCAGACCACAAAAGTAACATAATGAATCATTCCCAACAGCGTTAAAAACACTTTTCTCTTGCTTTTGTTTAAAAATTATTATTTTTGTAAATTTCTCATTTTAAGTGAATCAAAGGATGTAGTGCTTGTGGAAGGGGAAGATGGGAGAAGAGGAGAAGCAAGGAGGGGGAGGAGGGGAAGGGAGAAGGGAGAGGGAAGAGACGGATGGCTGAGCCCCTAGTAAAACCCCAGCCCCAAGCCTCCTCCCCCACCTCTGGAGTCACTGGAGTCCAGTACTAAGTACTTGTCTCCTAAAGATCCACCCTGCCCTTCCATTTGGACTTAAGGCCTTTCTCAGTCAGTTCTCCCCCTGGATCCACTCTGCCAACACTATCCCTGATCCCCTCCCTCATACCAATGGCTCTCTACTGGGCCCTCAAAAGAGAGCCTCAAAAGAACAAGACGACAAATTAAAAATCAGGTTAGGATACAAGAAGGACACATGATCCCGCAGACAAAGCATTAGTTTCTCTTCGTTTTAATTACTTTAATCTACATTCACTAGTTAAATAAATTACCCACAGTGAATACTGCAAGGAGGTTTGTGATCTGCCCGTCTCCCAATGGGGCACGAGACACTTGCTACAATCTTTCAAGACGCCCAGTTCAGAACCAGGCAGTAAGGCTCAGCTGCTGTGTATGAACATTATAGGGGCCATGGGGGCCTAGGGAAACCAGAAGAGAATACTGGGGAGTGGAAGAGGGAAGGGGTGGGAGCAGGGACTGTTTGGTGACTATGGGAGAAAGGCTATGTAAAAACATGATTTATTTACAATTCTCTTTTGGACCATCACTGACGGACAGGTGTGCACACTCACACTCACACACATACCTTCCAATAGAAGGGGCCTTGGCCGTCTGGAGACTAGAAAAATACTTTCTGTCACCAGTACCAGTTTGGCAAAGCATTTAAAAAACCAAACCAACCAAAAAGTCTCCTGGAAATCACCAACTTTCCTACTGAGATAACATTTTCCTGATTTTCTCACCCTAAGCTCACTTCCCAACCTCAGTCCTCTATCCTTTGCCCTCCTCCAGCTCAAACAAATCCAGGATCCTGCCCTCATCCTCAACAGGAGGTTCTAGGCAACATACTCAGAGTTCTCTGTGGGAAGGAAGGTTGTGTTGCTCATGAGCTGGGGTGGGGGTTGGGTGGGAGGGAGGCAGCGAAGAACAGGGAACGCTGGTCCCCCTCTTTATCACATACAGCGGGCCCTTCTAGAAGCTAAAACGCATAGACATAGACACACAGATACACAGACACACAGATACAAACAGACCTGTAGCTGTTCCCATGACAGGATATTATGAGACACCACAAAGTCCACCTTGTTGAAGGTGGGAGGAGACAGTGATGCCTTCATCATGCTATTGGGAATGCCACCCTGTCCAGTCTAACTGGCCATCTCCCTTGCCCACTTGCTAGATTTCTGGTGGACTGTCAAGGCACATGGTAAGAAATACCTACAATGTGGAAGGTCAGGGATGGGGGCACCATTTATCACCTAGGTTCATGTGATAAAACTCAACATTTCTTGGTTCAATGAAGGGACCAGGTGAAGGGAACTAACTCGTTTTCCTCTGGACTATCAACTTCACTCTCCCTACATGACAGCCACCCATATGACCATTCTGACCACCCTCCCTTGATCCATACTGTATTTTATCAGCTCCTGGTGCTGATAACAACAATATTGGGGTCACAGGTTGGTTTCACCATCACTCTCACCTGCCACTTTCATGCACACATACATTAACAGTAATAACAACAGCACTGAAGATATGTCTAGTTATCACATGAAGATCTGTTATGTGTCCCCATTTTTTCTAAGACAAGAGCTTCTTAATCCTCAAAAAAGAGAGAACATAACAGCTCTCAAGAGAATCTGCCAAAATACCAAGAAGACAAATCTTTCCCCCATCAGGTATTTTGAAATACATATAACAGTTACTCAAGAAACAAGAGAAACAGTGCCATCATGAGAGAAGCCAGTGCTTCATTCCTAGAGAGATACTACAGTGAGGCTACACCTTTCCCTACTCTTCCAATTCTTAGTTCCATCCATTACTAGTTTCCTACCCACCCACTACTCTCTTTTTGCCCCTCACAAGATTTAAACCATAAAGATGACTTGGTACAAAGTCTGACAAGTATCAACCCTGAAAAATCAACAAGAATTCACTAACTCACCCGGTGATGTCCACCTGTACTACACAGGAACTGAGTCAGTCATACCTGAAGAGGTCAGGGTGGAGGGAAGGGTAGAGACAACAATAAAGAACAGTGAAAGGACTATATGACTGCTCCTCAACAAAGGATGACTGCTCCCCATCTGAAACCCCAAACCAAGAATTCTGTCCTCTCCCCACTCCCTTTTAAGATAAAACAGGTGGCTAATAGTCAATAGATAGCACTTCTCAGGATGTCAGCTTGTGAGAATGGCCTCCCCATCACTGACAACACACACACCCTCATATATCCAAACACACCCATATACCCACCTTTATGCCACCTGAAATTAGCCCATTCAAATTAGCAGCTGGGTTAACACTGGATTTTACCTGAGTATCTGATGGTACAGGAGGACAATGCTTAAGGTGTGGGGAATTCCTTCTTTGCAGAAGGAAGAAGGGAGGCACAGAAGGGTGGGAGAGAGGGTGAGGGGTGTTATTGGCAAAATGAGAAACTTGCCTAAACAGAATTTTTTTACTTTAAAAGCTAAAAGCCCGGGCTTTCATGTACCCAGTGCATGTACCCTGGCCTTCAAAGAAGTGTTTTTAAAAGTGTTTTTAAAAATTCACTTGCAAATCTCTTCCCCTGCAGTGTCTCAACCTCACTCGCTCTGGTATTTCCTAAGGGTGAGAGGTTGAGGTAGGGAGCATAGCCCCAGAAAAATTGTCTTCTCTTTGCCCTTCCTCAGCCCCATAGGATAAGCTATGTCTATCTGACTTCTTCTGAATTTTGTCGTGTTTTACACAGCAGAAAGCCTGTCACTTACATGTCAATCACATTCCTTCACACCTAGTGGAAACTCCTTTGACCTATGCTTCCTCCTGGAGATGCTTGGAACTAAATAAAACCTCAATATTCATTACTAGAAGTCCTACGGGGGGCTGAGGATGCAGATACAAGAGATTAGATTTCTTTCCTAATAACAAAAGGGGGATGGAGGGAAGCGCAGGAGGAAATGAGCAGTTCAGGATCCTTGGGTGCTGAGGGTAGAGGAATTTCCTCAGTCAGGGCCCTAGAAAAGCCCTGACCCAGTTGGCAGCAAATACTGATCAATTTCATCACAGATGACCCAGGCACATTGCAGAAATGAAGGATGAATCTTAGCTAAAAAATAACTAAGCCTGACAGTATACAGGAATGTTTCACACCAGATTCCCACATCCATGTTTGGGGGAGGGGGAGAAGGATCTTGGTGCTTGGTATAGCCTGACCATCATTCTTTGAGAAGGTCTGGGCTCTTGCCATGTAGCCTCCTAACCTCATTATCTTCAAATCTAAGAAAGACCTGCTGCTTTTCCTCCACACTCTCTGAACAGAATAAATGATCCTTGAGATCAGCAGTTCTCAAATGGCACCCCATAAGCTGGCGTGCTCCTGAGAGGTCCCACACGTATCTAACTCCCTGTCTAGCCTTTGGAAGGACTTAGACCAAAAGCAAGCAGAGTGCAGGAAGTTGACCTCAAGACCCCAATCTATGAAGGTAGTTGCCACGTCACTCCAAAGGACCCATGCTCTGGTTAATTTGGTACCACCTTGGTCACTCCTTACCAAATGGGTAAGTGGGGTGGAATCTAGTTCTAATATGAAGCAGAATTTGAGAAGAGAAGAAAGAAGAGGAGGACTGAAGGAAATGTATTTCTTTGGTATTTGATCAACAAAAAAAGCTATAATGGGTAACATTCTTACAGAGCAAGGGGTAGGGGGCAGGAGGAAGGAGAAAAAGTTGTTGGTATGCAGTCTCCAGGCACCTTTAAGGGGGTGCTGAGAGCAAGCACTGGGATCAGGAGAGTAGAAAGCAAAGAGAGGCTCTCCCCATACTTGCCCTTTTGACCTTCCACTTTACCACAGACCACAAAAAAAGCTTTGTCAGGAAAACACTGTACCTTTCTCCTCTTACACGCACCCCCCACCCATACCCATACATTCACACACACACACACACACACACACACACACACTCTCTCTCTCTCTGTCTCTCTCTCACTCACTACTCACTCACTCACTCACACCTATCTCTAGCAAAAGCTAAAACCCACCTATGGGTCAACAAGACCATTTTTGGAAACCACTTATAAATCACCCTAGGGCTCACTCTAAAAGACTATGTTGCTGATACCTCCTGAGGGTCACTGAGTTACTGACACACACGCTTCACCAGTTCACCGCTGGTTACAACAGGAGAAAATGTAATCACGCCAGGCTGGGAAGAGTTAACCTAAATCCAGGAAAAACCCAAAGCAGAGAAGCCACAAGCAGTCTCGTAGTGGATTTTACATGATGTACAATTGGATTGATCCAGTTATTCCACAGACACAGTACAAAACTATGTCCCAAAGTGGCCAATGTGATGGGAGTAAGCTGACCTTAGATACCATCTACTAGTCACAATTCCATAGGACAGTTTCCCTCCACAACTAAGTCACATACTTCACTTTGCTAAACAGTGTTAAGCAAATATCCCTGTAGAACTCTTCACAGTTTGGTGAATGGCTCTCCTGTCCACAAACATGCCAGAGACTTAATCTATAAAATATATATATTCTTTCTCACACTGGAAAATTGTCTAATTGCTAGAAGAGCCTGTAAAGAAGTTAATGTCTTTTTTTCTGGGAAGAGACAGAATTTCACCCTGCATTCCGAAAATGTCTGCTGAGCCCCAAAGGCATCATCCTGTCTCAGTGAGAACTGTAGCCTGGGCTATATTTGGCAAGTGGGTAGGGACCAGAGTGGGGGGCAGGGTAAGGAACATGAAAATACATTGTGGCCCACGGTATTCCTTTTTTTCATGATTGAATGTAATACAAAAACAAATGAGAACTCCATTATTTTGAGTGCAGGTTTCTGGGACCCTGAAGGAGTTAGAGTGGGGCTGAGAGAGCAGAGAAAGAGAGAAGCAAACAGCTTATTCCCATGTGCCATAAATATTAACCTGAAGATAATGCCCTGGGAACCCAGTCAAAGCATGAGGATTCTGTGCTAGGAATTAACAAAAATTCACCCCAGGGATCGAGGCCTATAAGTCACATCATACTCTCAACAATCCTCAGTCTGAAGTTAGCTCCCTTGACCCTTAAGCTGGTGTCTCCCAAAAGCCTCAGGCCATCTTGGAGAGGGGAGAAAATGGGGGATGTGCACATGGGGAGAGGAAGAGGGCCCAGCTTCACACATCAGACAGCTCAAAGCAGCCCTTCCATCTCTGTCTGCTTCCCAGATACCTGAGAGGTGGATGGCATGGGATGGTGCATTCCTTACATGAAGATTTCTCTCATTCCCCATCATCCAGCCCGTCCCCAGAAACTGGGGCTTCACCTTGTTAGGTTTCTCAAAGATACCATAACATTCCCATTGGTCTTTCCTGTGGATAAGTAGACTTAAAAAAGGGGAAAGGAAATTGGACAGCTTTCTTCCCTTTCCAATTCCCCATATGACTGCATAAAATCAAAGAAAATAGTATTCTCAAATATTAAACCAGAGCTAGACTTCTCCACCCAAACAAAAGAAAAAAAAATAGGAAAAATGTCGCCTTTTTAATTTCAATCACATATGCTGTCTAAAGTCAGCCAGGATCCCCTGAGCCCCCATGCATCTGTAAATTGTGCACTTAACCATGAACAAGCCAACACTGCTCTGCCACAATGTAATAAAGTAACAGGGGACGACTCGCTGTTTTCTCACACGCTCCCTGGCAAATGAGGGCGACACCACAGAGGTCTCCACTGCTGTCTAGCTCCCCACTGACCTGGCCTGCGGGGGCAGTTGGGCAGGCTGTTGGTTGGAGAAGGCCCTGGCCCAGGGTATCTAGGAGAGGGGAAGAGAGAAGGCAGGCTGTGGCTGCTTACACTGTTGCATACGCATGCAGACTTTGTTCCAATTGGTTTGGGTTTTTTGTTTTTGTTTCCTCCCTCCTTTTTCTAAAATGATCTGATTATATTGTGAAATCACAACTGGTGCAGGCTGCCCGGACGAGGTAAGTACGGTTCAGTGGTGCTTTCTTTCTCCTTGAGCTCGCCAGCATGACCCCAGCCCTGCCTATTTCTGTATCTGGAATATAAAGAGCCGCAGGTTAATGTTCTTGGCGGCCAGCAGTTTGTTGCACTCCACGGAGTCTATGATGGGGAGCGGCACGTAGTCGGTCTCGTTGTTCTCATTGGTAAAGACAAAGTGGTAGATCACAGGGTTGATTTTCACATCGTCGTAGGGCCCCTTGAGCAGGAGGAAGGAGCACTCCATGGGGGAGCTGATCTTGCTCTTCAGGATGAGCTGAAAGGAGAGAGTGCGCTTACAGGACAGATTGGGGTTCCTCTCAGAGTCGTTCACCCGCGCCTTCAGGACCCACGTCTGGCTCAGCACGGTGAACCTCGGCGTCTCGTAGTAGAGGCGTGTGATGAAGTCGTCGGTACGGTATGGGCGGAACTGAACTTCTGCAATGGCACAGAGAGGGACAGGGAAGAAAGACCAGGAAGTTATTGAGGGCCATCGGCAGGATGGACAAGCAGCTCACATTACCTGGGGCTCCCGGGTGGAGCCTTCCTCAGAACGGATGAAGACCGAAGGGGTCCAACCGCTCGAAGCTGGGTTAGTCTCAGGAAGAATGTGACTTACCGAGAAGAAACTCAATGCCCTTTAATTTTTAAATGACAAGTTAACTACAGGAAGATTTTCAGATGCATAAGCTTTGGGGGGGAAATAAGATAAAATACAAACATGGTTAATTAAAATCAGCTGAAGAGAGACAATAGGTTGCAAGAGGTAAACAGCAAACCACTCTGTGGTATATACCAGGAGCTAGATAATGACATAACACATACCCCAAATAGTCATTCCTTAGCAGGTCCAATCTGTCCTATTATTATACTTGAATTGGGCTATCATCTAGAAGTGTCTTGCAATTCTAAGCTTTCAGCAAAAATTCTTCTGATCTACAGGGCACTGCCAGGCACTGGGTGGGTGGAGGGGAGCTCCTAGAGTTGGCAACTGGCACCAGTTATGGCTTTGGGAGACTAGCTCATGATGTGTGTGCCCACACTGGAGTAGGGGCGGAGAACAAGCAGAACACACAGACAGGATACGGTTCTGAGAACAATGTGCATTTTATTTGGATTTGGATACACAGCCGTCAACAAGGTAAGGCACAGACTTGGCATCGCCGCAGAGCAACCAGAGGGCAGGGCAAGGGAAATACAGACTGTCCGTTTTCAGCAGGGTACAGAGAATGCCAGATGAGATACATGTATAGATTATGTATAAAGAAAACAATACATTGGGTTGAGCTGCTCTGGGCTCAGATTTGCAAAGAGGCTAGTAAATCAAATACAACTAAACAAACCTTTCCAGACATAGTCCTCTTGGCTCAGTCCAGGAAACCCTTAGCCAGCCAGGTCCACCAGAGGGCATAGCCAATGTTCTCAAGCTATCATCCTGGATCAAGCAGGTAGTTTCCATGTGTTAAGTCTTTACTTTACAAACCGAGAAATCTCAAAGCACAGCTACATATACAGCCTTATTGTGCAATTCATACAGAGATACATATTTTCCAACATTTTCTACGAGAGAGAATTGAGCGAGCACAACATATCTGTGTAGTAAAGTTGACCAGTTATTTCAAGCTACACACAATTTATGGTATTAGCCTAGGACCAACATCATCATTTTCCTGGAATCAATCATAACCCAAATGCTTTTCTGGCATCTGTCTCATCACAAAGTGTATACATCCACAGGGGGCAGGAGAGCATTCCTAATCTGGCCTCCAGCCCCACAGACTGCATAGGACATGGTTAACAGCCCTGGCTCATTCCCACCCCACAACTCCCCAAAGATGGCTACTGATGGAGAACATGGTCCTTAACTGGAGATTCCACCACAGAGCACAGCCCAAGCCAGCCCCCAACACCTTGGGAAACAAGTCTCTTCTCTCAAGTGCATCCCTGCACTTGGTGCCAAGACAGGAACAGCCCCAGCATGTTCAGACCCCATGTAGTATGGCATTGCTGCTTGTTAAAGTCCCACTCTTAGGCCAAAGATCCAACGAGATCCAGCCAGCTAGTATTTAATAGCTCTGTCTGTTACCGTTCTGTTTCAACAGGGCCTAGGACTGATGAACTGTGTTTTCACAGCTCAGTCTGTTGTCTGAATCTTCTAAAAGGGAGACATTCTTTGACAGCTTTTTACAACGCATTGCTGATTAATTGCCCGAGAACAAGGATGCCCTGCTGTTCTTCTCCGGAGGGCAAGAGACTTCAGGGCCCCCAAGGAACTTCTCATCTCAGCCCCAAGGGTCAGTCATTTCTGAGTAACAAAAAATTAGGTACCCTATCCCATCTCAACTCAGACCCACACCCATACATTTTTTAGTTCAGATCCACTTTATCTAACCTAATACACTGACCAGAGAGATCTACAAAGAGTTGTGAAAGATAATCAGTGAGATGGGCAACAGCCAACTTACCTGGGTCAACAACACACCCTTGTCTGTCCAGGATAAGGCATGCGGAGTAATGCTGTTTGCCAATTTCTTTTAATCACTCTTCCCCAATCCTCCCATCACTCCACACCCCAAGGCTTTTGCCCCTTAATTCTCTGCCCTTGAGGTTAATCAAAACCCAAGCCAGAGTTCCTAGGTACCTAAGGATGGAGAGAATAGGCTCAAGGTTGGGCTAACCTGAAGATGAACCTTACTATGGTTCCTCCCTAACCTTTCAACACCAGGGAGAAAACTCACATGAGATGAATTTAGAAGAGATCTATTACACACTTTCCCCTCCCAGGGCCAAGCCACGGCAAGGAGAGGACTTTTAACACCCACTTGGGTCAGGGGATTCTCCTGAAGCACAGGATCCTAGCCAGGAAGGCAGACAAGGAGTGTCTGTCAGTAAGCACACTGTCAGATGTCACTTCAACTTTCAAGAAAACAAAAAGGGTCACAGCAACAGTTTCCTGGATTTCAGGTTTTGAGTTCTCCCCTGGTCTTATGTACTTTGCAAGTATAACTACTATCTTACCTCCATCCAACAAGGGAATGACCACACCACATCACAGCTCAGCTCAGCTCAGCCCAGCCCAGCAAACATAAATCCTGTTCTCCAAGGAGCCTGAGAAGCTTCAGCATCCCCAGTAACCTTGGACATATGTCCCTATTTACCCCTCCTCCCCTAACATGCCATTCTATCCAATGCTTCTAGACTATCCCCCTATATACACTCTAAATCCCCATTCTTCATTGAGAAGAGAGGGAATACACACAGCTGAACTACATTCCATATCAGAATGAACTAAAAGCACACATGCAGTACAATGACTGGAGACAGTCACTGTACAGCTTTTTTATGAAAAGAGAGGCCATGGGTTAAATATATGACAAAATATACTCAAGGAAATGTTCAGAGGAAGAGGAGTTCCCAGGGCCCCTCACAGCCTCTCAGATGATTACCTGTGTAGCCGATCTTCTCAAAGCTGAGCAGGCTGAAGATGCTGTTATATAGCTGCATCTCTTTCTTGTGGGTTTGGTCCATCTCATCCAAAATCTCCATTAGCTCATTGCCAGTCTTGGTGGGATGTGTGCACTCTGCTTCATGCACAGTCAGCTCGTGGAAGGGGCCCTGCCATGGGCAACCGATACGTTTGTATTTGCACTGCGTGACCCTGCCAGAAAGATGACACACGTGCACATGTGCATCACTGGAGACTCTGGACATAAAGCATGCACATAGAGGCCATAGCCAAAGATGTTGCAGGCCCAAGGGCAGAGCACAGGACCGTGCCCTACCCCAGCAGTGTCATCTGGGACCCATGGACATGTACCACGAAGAACCCTGAACTTGTGCTGCCCTACACAAGTCAGCACCAGCCTCAAATCTTGACACTACATTTTAGTGCACGTAGAGTCCAAGATTCATAGTACACACAAATGATTCCGTTTTTTCCTACGTCTTTCCACCTTCATGCACTACTACAGCATTACACAAGCATTCTATGCTAGTATTACTTCACTTTTGCACTCCAGAATGTAATGAAGGCTTTTTTGGTTCAGAAAAACTACCTAGCACTATTTGAAATCTCAAGTTCAATTCCATTCAACAAGTGATTTAAGTCCTACTATGTGCACACAGCCCTATGCCTCCCAATCAGTGTTCTCAGTTTCACAGTCCTTGAAGGCAATGAGGAGTTTACTGATGATGAACTAGACAAAGAGGTGCCAGAAGTCTTGTAATTGGGCAGTCAATGCCCCATCTAGGAAACTTCTGGTATTGTACAAGCCCAAGCCCTAAATGATCTCTAATCATGGCTAGGGCTGGGACCATGGCCCTGTTTTCTATAGGAAAATTTGACAGACCACCCTCTACCAACAGGCTTTAAACTATGGTCCTGGAACTGTTAAATTAGATCAGGGAAGGGGGAAGGAAGAAAGCATGGAGAGAAGCCAAACCAGATCATCAGGCCCATTAGCCCTACACAATGAAATTGGGTCTCTCTCCAAGGTGCTTCAGGCTGAGAAGGACCCTGACCTGGATCTACTGGTTAGGACTGCCCCAGGAAAGACCCACATTCCTAAGGCTGAACAAGAATCAAATTGGTTAGAGGAAGGGATAAGAATGGGTAGGGTAGCAAAAGAGAAGCATTTTCATTCAGCCAGTAGGGCATGCATGATTTCCTAAATCCTATTTGTCAGCTATACTGTTGAAAAGAGAACCAGAAAGGCCATCAAACAGGGTATATGGGTTGGCCTTGAAAACAGGCTTTTTTCTACGTGTGACTTGTAAGGACACTTCAGCCAAAGCCCACAAAAGTGTTTTCTTGACTTCTGATCTAGGAAAGGTAATAACAGAGTTTGTGACAAGCTAGCTAGCTGTCTATCCCAGACCCAAAGTATAGTCGGTCACTACCTGACTATCGGCTTACTGCTTTGCAGCAGGGGATCAGCAATAGCCACCCCAGAATCAGAATCCCATCTAATCAAAAGCCTAGATTTCTTGCCAGCTCCAGGACCCCCTAGGTCCCGTGAAACTCTCTTTTCCCAGCCCAAATGCCTAGGTTTGGTTTACAAGTGGAGCCTTTGGGCCACTTCCCTATTGGAAATCTTTTTCCTCCAAGGGAAAGATAAGGCTGGAGACCCAGGCAGGATGTATCAAGAATATGGAAGGACACCCAGAGGATAATTCAGTAACTGAAAACTAAAGCTTAGTGTAATGATCAAGGGCTTGCTTAGCAGAGGTCAGACACAGCAGGATAAAAGAAAAGGGGAGATGAAAAGATTTATTTCAGCTATGACACAAGAAAGGGCTGGGCACAAGTATAGCTGTAAGATTTTTCTACCAATTTCTGAAATGGATCACTTTCACAATCTTCACTCTGAAGGTAGGATTTAGGATTTCTAGCCAGCTACCCTCAGAAGATTCACTAAGTCACCAAGCTTCTTCTGGAGTTTCTAAATTTCTTTGGGAGGCCCAAGATGCAACAATATTTGTTCTGCTTTTGCACCTTAAACTTTGATTAAAGAATTAGGGATCTGGCCACAGGCCCCAGGCCTCTCTCATCCCCAGAGCAGGATCGAAGGATGTTGGCTTTTGTCTGCTTCCTCAGAAATATCACTTTGCTCCTTTCAGAAATGTCATTCTGGGACCGTTAAACCAGAAGGCCATGGGGAGAGCAAGAAATTAAAATCATTCACATTTTTCACCAACTTGGAGATAAACAAGCTCTCCCTACCCTTCTCTTTTTACCTAATGCTAAGCATGGCACAATGGCTTCAGGGAAGCCAGGCTGATTTCCATCAGAGAAGACCTATGTTGATACCAAAACCTTGACAAGAAGACACTAGTTCAGTCCATCCACAAAACTCTCTCAGGAGATCTCAAAACTTCTTCCTCACCTGGGAGAGGAAAAAAAAAACACAAAAAACACCAAAGTACTCTAGTAACCAGGGGAACCGAGGCCAAATAACTCAAAACAGCCAGAACTCAAGAAGGATGAATGTCAGTGGGAATCCAGCAAGATTTGTATCTTGCCACTTGGGTGAAATACAGTAGCCTCCTCTTCTCCATCCATACTCTGAGACTGGCTTGGCTAATAATGGACGAGCGGCACATGGTCTTAAGTCTCTCTTTCTACTCAGTATCTAGCATCATATCCTGAGGGACACTACAAGAACTTAAGCCAACCTTTGGGTGCTAAGCCAATGGCACTTAATCCAGAATACATGGATTCCATTTTTTCTGACAAGACAAGAATTTGGTGCCATTACACAGAGGTTCCCCAACTAGCACCCACTCAGAAAAAAAGTACAGAAAAATGAGTACAAGAATGAATGTAGGAAGATCAGGGTTCAAGTTTCCCAAAGGACTACATCAATCACTGGGAAGAATTTTGGGCAGATCTGGGCCCTTTTGGAAATGCTTTACTTGGTTAAATCAGGCCTGGTCTAGTACTCCAGGGAAGACAATGCAAATGAGGGGTCTTGTGTGAAGAAGTCTCTCTCCAATTCCAGGTAGAAAAGGCAATTCTCAGTATCTCAAACTCACTGTCAACTCTCCCACCTGGGAAGGCAAACTGACTAGGCTCCAGAAGTGACTCAATTAACAGTCTCTTGGCTGCCAGGGCCCAGGACTCTAGTCCCCTCACCAGACTTCAAGAGCCACACTTGTCCAAACAGCATCACCTATCCTAAATAAAAAAAACAAAAAAGCCTAGCAACATTGAGCAGAGATCAAGTTAGACTCCCTAGGAGAGCAATAGGACCTAAGCCCAAGGGTAAAAAGCCTGCCCTGTGGGGCTCTTTCCTCGAGATATGAGGGAAAAGAAACAAAGGCCTGCATCCTAACTTTCACAGGGTACCCAGTCAACATTGCCAGAGTTCACCACTGCAGAGGAACAACAAAAATAATTTTAACACCTTAAGGTTACAAAGTCTTTCCTTACAATAGCTCTGGGGAGTGGAATGTGTAAGTTTATCTCCATTTTACAGGTGAAAAGACTGAGGATCTGAAGTAGAGTGACTTTCCCAAGGTCAGACAGCTAATAAGTGGCAAAGCCAGGGAACGAGAGAGCCCGTCTCCAACAGGGCTATGACTTCCTGCGAAGGGGAAGGAAGGTAGGAAGGGAGGGGCGGAGAGCAGCCACAGGGGGCGCTTTACCTGTCCTGGCACTCCTCTTTCTGATGCCTCTCCAGGAGGGAGCGGGGGAACTGGCGCATGCAGAAGCCGCACTCTGACGGCAGCTCACTCACTGCTTTTTCCACAGCCAGGTTTCGGCAGCAGAGGCTCTTACTGATCTCACAACGACAATTGGGGCATGTGGCCTGTTCCTCCTTCAGCCGGGCATCTGCTAGTAGGTGGATAAAACAGCCAGCGCACATCAAGTGACCATTAGTACACTGTGAAGAAGGAAAGGGAAATGGAGCTTCATAGACCTGGTGGGTACCCACACACAAATGCATGCGCGCACGCGCTTCCTCCAACTCCTCCCACGAAGCCCCAGTGTGCGCAAAGGAACCAACACAGTACAAAACCAGCCTCGTGGCCTGATTCAGGCTGGTGTGGGTTCAGAGGGCACTACTGTGGAGAGGGCAGCCTCCAAAGACAGGTACAAAATGACTGTCTTCACTCAGTTAAGTGACTCCAGAGGCTGTTTACTTCCTCTTACGCTATCTGCCAGCAATTAAGGAAGCAGCCATCAGCAAAGGCCATGGTCCCCAGGTGTGAATGGGCAGGCTTTAGGAAACTGGCATGGCTTCTTTATTCATTTTCTCCAAAACAAAAATAGTACTATTCTTTAGTAAAGTAAGCAAACAGATTCCATTAACCATTAGACCTTCTCAACTTGATTCCCTTGTTAGAATGTAAATTCCTCGGTAGAGATTGTTTTAGTCTTTCTGTTTGTATTTGGATCTGCTATATGTTGGGCACCTAGCATATTTCCTGACATACAGCAGACACTTAAATTAATACTTGTTGATTCCTTATGAATTTTCCACCCAAAATTATGCTGACTGCCTGGGAAACAGAACAGAGGTGGAAATAAAACTTCACCCAAACTGCTACGCTTCTGGCAGTCCAGTTTCTTCCAAGGCATATGTACTGGCTAAGCTTTACACAAAAGGTAGACCATCTTTCCACAAGGACCCCCTTTCTTTAGCCATTTGGTACCTCAAAAGAGAGGTAACCATACCATTCTCAAGGAAGATCCCCTCAACAAGGCCAACAAACTCTGCTGAGCCACGTGGGGTCAAATGACAGAATTTGAGAGGCAGAAGGGACTTAGGAGGCAATGAAGTCTAACTCATAACTGGAAAACTATTCCCTTTACAACATAACCAACAAATAGTCATCCAGTCTGTGCTTGAAGAGCTTTAGGATATGGAGAAACCCACCACCCCTGAAGCAGCCTCTTCTACTTCCAGAAAGTTGTAAAAGTCAGGAAGTTTTTCCTTATGTCAAAAGCCAAAGTCTGCTTCTTTGTAACTTCTATCCATTGCTACTACTCTTGTCCTCTGGAGTCCTGTAATAGAAATACAACTCTTTTTCTCCACAAGAGGCCTTGGAAGACCTAAAGACAATTACCATGTCACCTAAGTCTATTCCTCCTCAAATTAAGCATCTCCAGTTTCCTCAATTGATCCTTATATAATGCTCACTAGCTGTTAGACCATGGGCAAGTAACTTAGTCTCTCAGTGTCTCCATTTCCTTATCAATTTCCTTAAATGGGGATAATAATGCCCACCACCCAGCTCATAGGACTGTTGTGAGGAAAATTCTCTGGAAACTTAAGAATTACTAAATAAATGTGAGTAACTATTATTAAACAACAGAGTACAATGTCCCGAACACAAAGTAAAGAAGACAGCTTCAGAAAGAAACTGTGGTCAGCACTGTCAAGTACTTCAGTGGTAAAGGACTCTTAAAAAAAAAAGTCTTATATTTGATAGTCATGTCATTGGTGACTTCCAAGAAAGCAATTCCAAAAGAGCAACTGGAACAGAAATATACTACCAAGTTAGAGAACATACGGTATTCTATTCCTGAATTAGATTTTTCCATAGGTACTATACAGGATGTGAATTGGACCTTTTACTATTGAAAGGGCATTTTGTGATAGTTTTGGAAAAAGACAACTCATAACACATGAAAGGCATTTCATTAGACTTCAGTCTAATGTACATATGAGCTAAACAATGAAGACTAAAACAAAGGCAACCAAAGCTGGCTAAAAAGTCTGCATTCCACCTTTCTCCAACAATGTTTCCACTTCCATTCCTCCTTCCCTTTTGTCTCTCCGACAACAGGTATCATATGGAAGGAAGGATTTCCAACATCTCTTCAACTTGATAGGAATAGACAAGAATAGCCCGGCTCACTGGGATCCATGGCGAATCCAAAGGCTCCAGTTTCTTCAGCAGGAAAAGCTGACTAGCCTGATAACTTCTCTCCTGTGCAACTTTCTATTGCCTCATTATTAGCCAGAAAACTTGTTAGGCAGCTGAGGAAACCTGAAATGGTTCAGTGACAGCCAACAGGTAGGAAACAGCAAGAGCCAGCTAAGGGGCAGCTACAGTTCAAATTGACTACAGAGGGTTTATTTTGTTTTTATTTATTTTATTATTTAATATAATGCTCCTTTTAAGTGTAGTAAGTTCACTCACATCCCTACCATTTCCCCCAACTCCTCACCCCTGTAAAAAAAACAAAAAACAAAAAAACAAAACCAGTCCTGCTTTGTGAACAACCAAAAACAAATCCCTTCTAACATCTGGTTCCTCCTAGAGCAGGCCTGTATAGAGAAGTATCATGAGGACACAGGATATCAGCAAAAGAACTCCCCATCAAAAATTGCACAGTCCTAATAAAACAAACAGAACTAAACACCTCTGAAATTGAGAGGCCCCAGGCCAGAGAAGGGAAAGGTACCTGAGATCTGGCCCAGGTAAGCAAGCTATCAATACTTCCACTTTTCTTTCTGCTTCTGGCACTTTGACAGACCCATCTAACTATGCAGGTTTCCACTTCCCTTGCAGAAAATTTCCCCTGGGTTCTGGGGCATTCTCTTTGCCACCATCTTGAATTATGTATCTGCAAATATATCATCCCATCCCTTCCCCATACTTATTTCTTAAAAGAGCCTTTTGCTAGCTCACAATACACAATACTATGAACACGTGTCAGTGAAAAATGCTTCAAAGCTACCTTATATTACTTGTCTGTGTAATAGATACACAGTGTTAGCAGAGGATAAGAAGAAATGCAGAGGTGGTGGGAGCCCCCACATAATGTTCAGAGACCACTTAATTAAGGTCAAAAAGCGCTGAGAGGCACCTAAAAGTTACCATAGGTCAAGACAGATAGAATAGTGTGCTCCCTGGTACAAATCTCCACCCACGAAATTAGAGGGCAATGGTATTATTCTCTTATGCACTACTAACTGTAAGAGTGATAGAACAGGAAACCCATTATGGGGAAGGAAGTGGTAAAAGCATTAGTACATAGGTAAAGGACTCCCATTCCAAGATTTTTAGTTAACTTGAAAATCTTTCTTATTATCAACTTGATCTGATTTGAGAATACTATCATAAAATACCTCCAAAGTATTTTTCAATTCCAGGGAGAATCATTACCTTTGGACCTTCCAGTGAGACAGTAGTATATATTTGCTTTCCACCCAGATTTGCTACTAATATTAACCAAACAACAAAAAATACTGGCTGCTGGCTTTCATGTAGAAGGGTATGAAAACAAAGGAAATTACAGAGCACACAAGGAGTGGTAAAGCTCATGCATATGTGTAACCATTCTTCACACCTGCCAAATCCATATTCCTAAAGCACAGTTTGTACTAAACCACTCCTGCTCAAGAAGCTGCAGTGCCTCCCAAGTGCTTTTAGAATAAAATACAAACCCCTGTGTTTGAAATTTAAAGCCCTTCACTGTCTGGTTCCAGTCTATCTTTCTAGGCTGATTATTATGTTAACACCCTTTACTCATGCTAAGCTCTAGAAAAATGGGCCTATTTATCCCCCATAACTAATATTCCATCTCCCATGTGACATACTCTCCCTTCTCACCTCTGCTTACTAGAACCCTTGAAGTGTCACTTCCTTCAAAAGACCTTTCCTGATTCCTCCCCTATCCACTACACCCAGTCACAGTTTGTCTTGTATAAAACCTCCACTTACTAGATATGTTGCAACAGCCTATAGAAAGTAAGCTCCTTGAGGGCAGGATCTGTATTTGTATTCACAGTACCCAGCACAGTAGACAATGAGTGTTTGTTATTACAGATGTCACCGGAGAATCTTGCTTTTCATAAAGGAAGGGCATTGCATTACTAGACCTAGTCTCCTTGAATGTATGCGGTTCATATATATCTATAAATACTTAAAAAGATGTGTGCCTTCTGGAGTCTGAATTCCACTCCCAACCTTGGTAATAGTATCTGCCTTTCCTCACACTAGCTTATCTTTGATCTGTAAAGGGGCTTGGTGCAAAAGTGAATTGCTCTGGCCCTTTTGCTAACTTTTCTTGATTCTCATCTGTGTAGCTCTCCTTACCTCCCAGATCTGTTCAAAGCTTAGCCTTCTTGGACCTGTTGTTCTCTGGGGCTCTGGCCAGCCATAGGCCAAGAAGCACCTGGGATCTTAGTTGGAAAAGAACTTAAAATTCATCTAGATTCTTATTCCACAACTGGCAATCCTGGCCTCAATTCAATTACTACCCACCAGGTACCTCACTGGTCAGCAGAGATACAAAACCAAAAATGAAACCACTCCTGCTCACAAGAAGGTTTGTATAGGACCTGCTTGGGTTACATGACCCTGGGCTAGTCAGTCACTTATACTCTCAGTAAGGGCTCAAGACAGCTGCAGATCTGTATTGGCAGATGGAGTCTCTCACCAGCAACTCTCCCCAAGATTACATCACAGGTCAGCTTTCCCAAGCCCTGCTCCCACTCCCATGTATAAGTCCTAATGCTGAACAAGCTTACTTTTTCATTGAAGAAGTGATCTAATGTGGTGGGGAGGGGTGCTGGAAAGTAGAGCTGATGATGACTCCAAGGTTCTGAATCTAAGTGACTGGAAAAATGGTGGTGCCCTCAACAGAAATAGGGAATCTGGGGAGAAGGTAGGAAGTTATTTTGGACATTCTGAATTTGAGATGCCTATGGAACACTCCAAGTAGAGATCAATCAATCAATAAACATTTATTAAGCAAGATAGCTATCCAGGAAGCCATTGGAGATATAGTACTGGAGGTCAGGATAAAGTTAAGGGCTGGGATTTGGGAGTCATCAGTATAGAGATGATAGCTGAATCCACAAGAGCTAATGACTGAAAATGATAGCTGAATCTAGAGGAGCCGATGAGATCACTCAGAGGGTCTCAA